TGCTAACAGATTTTTAAGAACCTGCCCCAGCTGCTGGAATCCTTGCTTCTCTCCCACAGTGCCAAGGCTTCTCCTGACAACAACGCCTCCACACAGCCTCGCACCTCTCTCTGTGATCATGCTCCCTCTTGGCCTTTGTTCATGTCATCTCTGCCCCAGTGTTCTTATTACCTATTCAGATTCGGTATGTTCCTCATTCCAGTCACCATGCAAATTCCAAATGCTGCATTGTTTCCCAACGAGTGCCCGCATGGTCCTTTTTCTGTTGGAAGTTTCTTGCTGGCCCCTGAATGTCCATTCTGTGACTTTCCTTGTGTTCTTACTGTAGCCTTCCATGGCCACTGCTGCGTCTCCAAGAATATTTCCAACTTGTGAAGGCTGAGGAGAATATTGATTTTCTTTTTTAAATCACCCATCATGTTTCTGCTGTTGTTGTTGATGGCATCTGTGATCTCCCTCAGGATTCTAAGGACTGCTCCTTCGTGCACTCTTCAAGGAGGAGACTGTGTTGGTTGTTTGATTGCAGGTTCCTCCCTTCTGAAGAGAGAGAGAGGACTGGGGTGTGACTTGAAACTCTGCTTCCACTGACTGAAATTTTTTTAACAACTTAGTTGAAATTTACATACCACAAAATACACCTGTTTTAAGTGTCAATGAAAGTATATACAGAGTTGTGTAATCTCCACTGTGATCTTGTAAGTGTACAAATCAGTGAAAGTATTTCTACAGAGTTGTGTAACCTGCCACAGTCTAATTTTAAAATATTTCCATCACCTTTCAAAGAAATGCAGGTGTGTGCCACCACGCCTGGCTAATTTTTTAATTTTTTGTAGAGGGGAGGTCTTGCTATATTGTTCAAGCTGAAACAATTTGTGATGGGTGATTTTTTTACTCCATTATATATTTTCCCATTGACTAACGCTTATAGCTACTTAGTTGGCACTCAACCTTTAAATATTTTTTTGACACATCATACTCCAGGGTCTAAGAACTCTTGCTTCTTATGCAATTGCAGATCTCTTTTTTAAATAAAAGATTTTTGTCAATAAGAAAACAAATTTGGTCATCTTGATTGAACTGGTAAGTTCATTCAATTTTTACATCACTGGTAAAAATGATTATTTCATCTAAATGTTCCTGTTTGTGTGGATAAAGTCCTATCTGCATTATTTAATTTAAAAATTGGTGGCAAAGACATAGACCTAATGTAATAAAGAATTTGAAAGGAGCATCACTTCAGAACCTAGCTATGTGTCTAGCTTCAAAGCTCAATGTTTCTCAAAAATAATTAACAGCAATTCAAAACATCTTATTAGACAGATGGAGATGGTTTAGCAAGTATAGATGTTACTTGTCTAATGGTTTCCAAATTTTCAAGGTAGTCACAAGTGTATAAGGTACCTAGATTAAATGAAACTTCTGATTTGCCATCCATTAGTCCGAGGCTGACATTTTGATTTATTTATTACTTCTTCCTGGATTTGTGTGAGCTTGTGGGTTTACTTTCTAAAAGTTTTCTGAATCTGTTCTTTTCTCTCATGACCCAGTTGAGACCCTGCTCTCTCTCTTGGATTTCTGCAGGACCATCCTAACTTATATTACTGCTTCCATTCTTGTGCTCCTTCCCCCAAGTCCAACCCGAGACTATCATTACACCATAGTCAGAATGATAAACCAAATTTATCTATGTTAGTTCCCTTCCATGTGCTTCTACCACAAGGAGAAAAAAGCCAAGCTTCTCAGCATCTCAGACAAGGCGTTCTATGTTCCGCCTTCTGCTCACACCCTTGGCCCTACTTCCTGCCAATCTCCCCACATGATTGATGTTCTAAGAACGCTTTATTGCTGGATGCATCTCTAAATACACCATACCTTTTCATGCCTCTCTCCAGGCAGGTCATTTTCCTGCAGTTGTCCTTCCACCTTTCTATGCATGGTAATCTGGATTTATTTTTTTCAAGACAGTTCAGGTGTCATCTTTTTCAGAAAGTCTTTCCTTGACCACAGGTTAGGCAAAGTCTTCTTTTCTATGCTCCCACAAGGTCCCTTGTTCACCTCCATCAGGTCACTCATCATTGTGTATGAATTTGGAAGTGTGTTCCCTCACTGGTATATAAATTCTTTAGTGGCAGGAAGTATGTTTTAACCACTTCTGCATTCTTCCTGTCTGGCAGACAGTAGGTACTTTATAAAGGTTTGTTGATCTGAAGTGAACTTGGTTGACTAAATAACTCCGTTTTTCGGTTTATGAATCTCTTCTAGTTTTTATACCCTTTTCTCTAAATGTTTTTTCATCTCAATTTTGTCACTCCAATTCATAAGCAGTGTTTTTTTTAGGACTTTATGAGTACAAAACACTTTTTCTTGATATTTAGGGGAGAAAATCCAGCCTAATCTTAGCACAAGAAAATGGCAGGTGAAGGTCTGTGTGGTATTTATGTATATATTTTTTGAGTTAGAGTCTCATTGCAGCTTCGATCTCCTGAGCTCAGACTATCCTTTCACATCAGCTTCTCTAGTAGGTGGGACTACAGGCATGCATCACTACCTGGCTACTTTTTGATTTTTTTGTAGAGACAAGGTCACTATGTTGCCTAGGCTGGTCTCAAAACAGTCCTCCCACCTCGACTTCCCAAAGTGTTAGGATTATATGTATGACCCACTGCCCCCGCCTGTGTATTATTTAAAAGAACTGTAACTGCCTCAGGCCAAAAATGCTCCCAGATAGCATTAGTGTCAACCTGATATGAACTCTTCACATGTTTATATTTGTTGATCATTTTTCAACTTGAAAGATAATTAATAATTGCTATTATGATAGCTGTCATTTTTTTCATTGATCAAGTACTTACTATAGGCCAGCCTCTGTATAAGTCACTTCACAGTTATCATTTGAACATTCTATTTACTTATAAAGAAGAAATGATTATTCTGTTTTACATCCTTGAAGACTAGTCTCAGAGAGGTTAAGTCAGTTGCCTAAAGTCACAAAGCCACGGGATGTAGAGCTAGAACTCAAGTCGAGTGACATTCTCTAAAGCCCTTTTCTTTTCCACTCAGGCTCAATGCGTTCTGGAAAGGTAATTTCTGGAAGAATCAGCCACTGAGTCATGAGTAGAGAGCAAGCAAGCCACAGTCAGGAGAGAACAAGCCTTGAAGTAATGGGTTGTGACCAGGTTGGGTTGGTAAAGTGGGTGTCTCTGGGGGAGGAAGAGAGGCCTCCCAAAGCTGTGAGGATGGCCCTGGAATGGGACGTGTGGGTCTGCTGAAGATAGTGCACCCAGGGCTGGATGCTACAAGTGATTGACTCTGATAGGAAATATTTTGGTGCTGACTACTCATAACATGTACTAGGAAAAACTATGTGTGGATGAATCCTTCCAATGCCCCAAAGTTTTTTTTTTAACAATGAAGAAAGAAGAGAAAGAGAAATTAAAGAACAAGTACATTGATGACAGTTTTTTTAGAATTTTTTTCTTTTTTGAGTCTCACTCTGTTGCCCAGGCTGGAGTGCAGTGGCACGCTCACGGCCACTGCAGTCTAGACCTACTGGGCTCAGGCAATCCTTCCACTTCAACCGTCCAAGCAGCTGGAACTACAGGCATGTGCCACATCGCCCAGATAACTTTTTTGATTTATTATAGAGATGAGGTCTTACCAAGTTGCCCAGGTTGGTCTCGAACTCATGGGCTCAGGCAATCCTCTTACCTCGGCCTTCCAAAGTGCTGGGATTATAGGCGTGAGCCACCATGCCCAACCTTAGAATATTTTTTTGAGGTAGTCAGAGCATGTATTTTTCCAGAATTGTTGACTGCTTTATATACTGTTTTAATTTCACAGATAAGGCAGATGATGCTCAAGAGATGTTTCTTTTTAGTAAGCAGCCAGAGAAATACAATAACCCTGTATTCTACCCAGCTACACCTCCATACTTAAATACTGACTGAGGAAGTGGTAAAAGTCCAATGATATCCTCAGTTTTATAATATAAATTTATTTAGGGTTGTAAAATGTTTTGAATGTTTAATATAAGAAATACTGAAGTAATTTTATCACTTAGGACTGTTCTTAGGAAGCAGTCCTTTGTTATTCATAGAATTATGAAAAACAAAGTCAAAAAAAAGTTCTCTAGACAGTCTTTTCTTTGGTGAATAATTGCTTTTTCTGATTATCCCAAATGATTTTATGAATTCCATAATTTTTATATGCCTGAGTGGGATCTATGAAGTAAAAATATAATTCCTCACCAAAAGAAACAAAAATCATATACACCAAAAGGCTTTGACTGTTTTACATTTAAACTATATGGTAGCTATCTGGTTACATGGTACTTTTTTTTCTTTTTAAGAGACAAAAGTCTTGCTATGTTGCTCATGCTGGTTCCAAATTCCTGGGCTTAAGTGATTCTTCTGCCTTGACCTCCCAAAGTGCTTGAATTATAGGTGTAAGCCACTATGCCTGGCTACCTTGCTAAAATTTTTATAGACTGTTTAATGATTTATGGTGTCCCATGATGAGGCAGCATTCTACAAAATTACTTGCTTTCCAAAAGTTGCAGTCCATGAAGAATACTTTATTTGTTTTAAAACCAGAATCAGGTTGATTGTGGCTTTTTTTTAAAAAAAAAAATTTAGGCTAAAATTTAGGCTTTATGTATATTTGTAAAACACTGATAGATAACTAAGTGTTCCATTATCTTTCCTCTGTTTTACTAGACTCTTGTTGAAAAGTAAATTGACATATTAAATGATGAAACATAAGGTTTTGTTAAAAGTAAAAGAAAAATCTTTTTACTTAAGGCTTCATGGAACAGAATTTTTATGTAATCAGAATGAGCACAAAGGACCCTTTTCTGGTGATGAAAGCATGGAGTCTTAACCTAAAAGAAGCTAAGTGGAATGCTAGATCTTTTGTTTTTTGTCATGTACCTACTATTGCAACTTCAGCTAGGTGTGGTGCACTAATATGAAGTTCTTGGCAAACATTTTTTAAAACTTTCATTTTTGGTTAGCATAAATTTCCTTTAATTATTTTTCCAATTCTAATAGGATTTTGTTTTCTGGTATCACATATCAAGTGAGTATAAAGTTTTACAATTTAGTAATCCTGGATTTCTAGTCATGTAAGGTAAAAATGAAAATGTAAAGTTTACTTAAAAAAATTAATTTTCTTCTTCTGTAAAGACTGACTCTTCATCTTCATCATCTTCTACTTGATCCTTTCTTATTCGACAGGTGGATACCTGTCAAAAGTTAACACATTAAAAAAAATAAAAAATACTAACTTAAACAATATTTTACATGCTTGGTGTCTTTTTGTATGTCCTTACAGGAAAGGGCACACAACAAATATTTCAGAAAAATGTTCGTGTGTTATAAGTTTTAGTAATGAAAACTTGCTATGACTTATATTTTAAGGTCTGAAGTCAAAGTTTTTTTCACTTATCATATACTTTTTACATAACAATGTGAAATTAGCCATTTGATTTCAGTTGGATGGCCACCAGTACTTCAACAACATACCATACCTTAAGAGAAAGGTTTAGCCTTAGTATATTATGCATGTTAAAAATAAGTTAAACAATTTATGGGTCACAAAAACAGTATCTGATTGAGAATCTTCCAGTGGATGGCAAAAATAATAAGCTATTTTAGCTAGGTAGTGGGAAAGAAATACTGATATAAAATTAGTGTGATTTAAGTGGAATGAGTTGAGAACCTGACTAGCTTGAAGTCCTGACTGTTGCCACTTGGGGCATCTTGCTTAAAACTTCTCAGGGACATTTGGCAATGTCTTGTGATATGGCTGCTTATCACAACTGAGAGTGTGTGTTGTATGTGCTCATGGCATCTTGTGGGTAGAGGCTAGGGATGCTGCTCAATCTCTTCACAATACGCAGGACAGTACTCCCTCCCCTTCTCTGTCATACCTCCTTCCATCTGATTTTCTGACCCAAAGTCAATAGTCTGAGGTTGAGAAACGTTTCCTGGGATAATGTATTCTCAAGTGCTATACAAATGTTAGCTAAGTTAGGTAACATTATTAGGGTTTTTTTTTGTTTTTTGTTTTGAGTCGGAATCTCACTCTCGCCCAGGCTGGAGGGCAGTGGCACGCTCCTGGCCACCGCAGCCTCAACCTGCTGGGCTCAGGTGATCCTTCCATCTCAGCCTTCCAAGTAGCTGGAGCTACAGGCATGCACCACCACACCCGGCTACTTTTTGATTTATTGTAGAGATGAGGTCTCACCAAGTTGCCCAGGCTGGTCTCAAACCCGTGGGCTCGGGCAATCCTCTCACCTCGGCCTCGCAAAGTGCTGGAATTATAGGCATGAGCCACCACCCCCAGCCACATTATTAGTTTTAAATAGTCAACACTTTGTAGTATAACAATAAGTTGTGGAATTTATGTGCAAGGCACTTAATGGTGAAATAATAAAAATAAAATTTGGCTAGGGAGAGAGATATACAATGTAAATGCCCCTTACAGAAAATGGTTGTCAACCCCTGCTCTAGATTCTGAGTAGTCGGGCTTTCTGGATATAGACAAAATGAAATTATTTTGCCAATAATGTTCAGCAAAAACCCTTTTTAGGTAAAATTTCTGAAAAGATCCACCTAGTCTTGATAGTGAGATTTAAACTTAAGCATTTGACTTCAGATTCAATGCTCTTTATATTATACCAGATCACAAATCATTTACAGAACAGGAAATAGGCTCAGTAAGTTATAAGAGGTCATACAGGTCAAGAAAAATATTTTTAGTACTGAACAATTCCAAAAGCAGCAGCTCAGATTCCTTTAAACTATGGTTTCTAGCTCACCTGTCCTGTTCCAGATATACTCTTAGCTGACAGTGATCTCTGAATAGGTGACTTTGAATTTGCTCTTACAATATCTAAACGAGATGAATAATCTGGTGCATACAGAGAATTTCGAAAGACCTATTGAAATGATAAAACAACATTGTAAAGTAGATACTAAGCAATAAATATCTAGAAAGTCAAATTACAATTTCTATTAGTTAAGATTTTTGTACAGCTGTTTCCCCCCAAATGGGAAAAAATGGTTCTTGTAATTTTAGAAGAAAAAACAAAGCAATGCAAACATAGTCTAAGCTAGAAGGAGAAAAGCAATAAAATCTCATTTGAACCATGAGGGTGATGAGGGATGTCAACAGTAATTAGTCATGAAACAATTACTTAAGTGCTTTTACCAGGGAAATTAAAAATTCCAACTCTCTGAGACTATGCACGCTACTAGGGAGGCTGTACCTCCAAATCATAATCTTGATTCTTTCTGTTCCGCACATCCTCAACTCTTATTGATTTAACTGCACTGGAGTACTCCTATGGAAAATCCCATGAAGAGTAACTTGGAGCCACTGTAGTTTATGGATTCCAAGCTTACTAAGATCTGGAGTGTCATGACTTGTGAGTTGTCTTTCCTTAAGGTACCACTTCCAAATCTTATCACTCTGAAGCCTTCTTATCTCCTTTTCCTCTTTTCCATTCCTTTAACAGACTAATAGGTAAGTGTTTCAGCTGTGAATGTCTTCGATTTCCCTCTTTTTTCCTTCAAACTCTACACCCCAGTTTTGTGTATGTGTGTTTGTGTGCTGGAGTCTCACTCTGTCATCCAGGCTGGAGTGCAGTGGCACACTCACGGCCACTGCAGCCTTGACCTGCTAGGCTCAGGCAATCCTTTTGTCTCAGTCTTCCAAGTAGCTGGAACTACAGATGCACACTACCATGCCCATCTAATTTTTTGATTTATTGTAGAGAAGACTTCTTGCAAAGTTGCCCAGGCCGGTTTTAAACCCCTGGGCTCAGGCAATCCTCTTGCCTCTGCCTCCCAAAGTGCTGGGATTACAGGTGTGAGCTACTGAACCGGGCTGCTACCTTTTTTTTTTTTTTTAAAGTAAATATTGTGATATCTTCCAGCCTGCATTTTTCCTTTATCACAAACTTCAAACCAACAAACAAAAGTTTTTGTTTTCCACAGGTTGCCTCTCCTAGAAAACAAGTCCAAGCTTAGTTTTTTAAATTTTCCCAAGGTATAAGTTTTTTTCTTAAAAAGTATCAAACATTCTACTTTATCTCCATTTATTTTTCAACAAACTACAATTGGGCTTTCACTTTCCACTAAAATTGCTGTTGCCAAAATCACTAAGGTTGTCTTTTTCATCTTCATCCTCACTGACCTCATTCTGAACCTTCTTGTCATGGCATCACTAAACTCTTTCACTGTGGTAGCTACCCTAGTTCTTGACATCTCCTTTTCTGCCACTTAAAACCTTACATTTTTATGTTTTTGAGTTTGAGTCTTAGTCTGTCACCCAGACTGGAGTGCAGTGGCACGCTCACAGCCACCGCAGCTTTGATGTTCTGGGCTCAGGCGATCCATCTGCCTGTCTTCCAAGTAGCGGAACAACAGGCATGTGCCACCATGCCCGGCTAACATTTTCATTTAGTATAGAGATGAGGTCTCACCAAGTTGCCCAGGCTGGTCTCGAACCCCTGGGCTCAGACAATCCTCTAGCCTCAGCCTCCAAAGTGCTGGGATTATAGGTGTGAGCCTACCTTAAATACTTTTATAAAATAATAAATACCTTAAATATTTTTAAAGGATTTCCCTTAGGCTACTTTTAAAATTGTTTATCTAAAAGATCTCATCTAAATCATTTAATGGGTACTCCTGGATTAATTGTCTGTATACTCCATATTCATGCTCCCAACTACCTTCTGCTCCAGTCCAACACTATCCAATAGAACTTTCAGAGATGATGAAAATGTTTGCTCTTCTGTTCAAAAAGGTAGCTGCTGGTACCCACATGTGGATACTAAGCAGTTGATATGTGGTTCATTTGATTGAGGAACTGTATTTTTATTTTAATTAACTTTAAACAGCAAAATGAAAAAACAAAACAAAAACTTTAAAGAGTGACATATGCCTAGTAGCTACTCTATTGGACAGTGCAGCCCTACATTCACTTTTATAAGGACTTTAATAATTTTACACTTTTACAATTACATTACCTTTACCTAGCAGACAAAGCTATAAGTGTGGGAATTCTCCCTAAATTTCTCATCTAAGGTACTTTTGTTTTAATAAAATAAGACCAAAGAATATTAATTCTCTATTCAAAAAGGTTTTGGTCCTTGACAGATGTCGACTATGTTATAATGTGCCTCTGCAATGCTGGCTCCCAGCATTGAATTCCAGTATGGAATCCCAGCAAACTTACTGATTCTTCCAAGAGCTACGTCAGGTGCCATCTTTCTTCTGCTTTTCCCTATTCTCTTAGGCAGAGGCTTCTCCTATTCATACCCTCAAGTGTAGCTTTCATCTCATTGTTTCGTAATTGATTCCATATCTGTCTCCATAAGTAGTCATAAGTTCATAGAGCAAGGAGCCCTGTTTTATTTATGCAAATCCCAGCTTATGATATTAACCTGCAAAAAGATGATATTAATGAAATTTACTTTTGCTAAGTGAATGATGTCAAATTGAACTTCACCCCCATGTTGTGAGAAATTAAGGAGACTCAAGATTGGGGATGTCTATACATTCCCTTAAATATCAGAGAACCACAGGACACAAAAGGAATTAAGTCTCCTGAAACTAGTGGAGTAATGAGACGAGAAGGAACTTTTTATTGGAAGTTAAACAAAAAATGGGGGGAAGTTTTCAGAACTCAAATGTGAGAGGACTCTCAAATTCTATAATTTATTAATATATAATTCTGGTTGTATCTTGAGCATACATGGCCTTTTTCACTTCTATATTAGAGATAATTTGGGGAAAATGTGCCTTCGATATTTTATTTATTTCAGCAAAAATACTAGTGCCTTTTTTTCTTTTGAGAGATAAGAGGGTAGGACATTTATTCTTCAGATGTGCCTGTTGAAGACTAGGCTTTGATGCTTCATTGCTGTCATGTTAGTTGGCCAGTCAGAATTTTTACATTTAACTAAAACTGCTATCAGCATAAAGCAAGTCTATATCAGCCTACATTTATTTCACAGCTTAGTGATTAAGTCACACAAAGTTAGCTGGAATCCTGATTCTGCTAGTTATTAGCTGAGTGGCCACAGACAAATAAGTAAAAGCTTCTAAGCCTGTTTCTGTAGTTGTACAATGAGTTATAACAGCACCTACCTTATAAGATTTTGTGAGGTTTGAATGAGAAAATGCATGTAAATCTTTGGACACTCTGCATTGCATAACTGTGTAAATCAACAAATGTCGGTTATTTTTAGCTTGTTTCCGTGGGCTTATACCACCAGTTAAAATGATACACTATTTCATGAAATGGCTTTATGTAAATTATATTTTACTAGCTATAATAAATTAACTCTTGGACCTTTTTCTATGGTTAATTTGAAAGTTAAGAACAGATAAATGGAAAATCTTAAAAGTTCAGCTATTTGGAAATGCACACAATACCCACTGTAATATTCTATCTTAAAGTACTGTTGCCCATACAAATGAATGCTCTCTTTTAAACATTTCCACAGGCCGTGAGTGGTGGCTTCAGCATATAATCCCATTACTTTGGGAAGCCAAGGCGAGAGGATTGCCTGAGCTCAGGGGTTCGAGATCAGCCTGGGCAACTTGGTGAGACTTTGTCTCTACAATAAACCAAAAAATGAGCTAGGTGTGGTAGTGTGTGCCTATAGTTCCAGCTACTTGGGAGGTTGAGGCAGAAGGATCACCTGAGCCCAGCAGGTCAAGGCTGCGGTGGTCGTGAGCGTGCCATGGCACTCTAGCCTGGGCAACAGAGTGAGACTCCAACTCAAAACAACCCTAAAAAACAAAAACAAACAAACATTTCCACATTGCTAGAAGAACTGAGCATAGACAAAGTCCTACCTCTAGATCTTCATCCTCATCAATCTTTTGTATATTTTGGTAGGCAGCAGTGTAGAGCTCTAAGGCTTTGCAGTGAAATGTCATTTCAATTGTGATGAATTCTGAAAATATAGCCTAAAAAACAAAGACTTGAATGTAAACAGTCATTTAAATTGGTTTATGCATTTAGTACATTTAGTTCTCACTACAGTCTTGGCACTTAATGAAACAAGCAGTATCCTTTTCTCCAGGGTAAATGGAGTACAAAAAAAGAACTGGGGGAGGGGAAGAAAAATCAGTTGTGAAGACCTTTTGTAGTAAAATTTCCAAATTATACAGAGTATTTCCTATGCTACTATTCACTTTCCTCCTATTTTTTATTTTAGTTAGTTTCCTCTTTATATCTCTAGTCATTGACACTTGTAATAAAAAAAATCTGACTAAAATGTGTACTCTGATTCCACATGCCTATGAATTATTAGAGTAGTTCAGTTCTGAAGATGGCATTTTAGGAATTCCAACTGATGTTTAAACAACAGAATATGTTTGTTTGTTTTTGAGTTGGAGTCTCACTCTGTCACCCAGACTGGAATGCAGTGGCCGCTCCCGGCCACCGCAGTCTCGACCTGCTGGGCTCCGGCGATCCTTCCGCCTCAGC